TGCTTGACCAAAACATCACTAGGATATGTTTTTAGTGTCCCACCTCAAGCATTTGCTTGGCCAAAACATCACTAGGATAAGTTTCTAGTGTTCTATGGAGCATATCTTATATTTCGTCTTCCTAATTAGTATCGGAACATCTGATCTGATATAGGCCTGTTCGCTTCGCTGAAATTTAGCTTACGTATGCTGATTTGTCGTGAGAAAAAAATGCCGTTAATGGGATGAAAAAGTGCCGCAGTTCATGCGAACATAGCAAACACCCTCTAACTCGAGCTATTTGGTGAGAGACCATTATGAGAAGTGGGCTTCGACAGAATGCCATCCCGCAACGGGGCTTCGTCAGGATGCCATTATCAAGTGCGACACAACCGCTAGAATGCCATCCAAGGAAATTTAGAGCCTTTTATTCCCCTTCTACCCCTCCCTTCTCTCTTTTATTCCCCTTCAACAGCGACCACGCAAGCGGGGAAGACGGTCGCTGTCACAAACGCAGAGAAAGAAGCCGTGGGGCGCAAATTGCCGAGAGATAAGCTGACCGTGGCCACCCCCAAGACGGAGAAGGAGTTTAGGCGCGCGCGCACGAAAGCGAGGACACCTGGCGCGACGACCATCGGAGATTTGGCGTTGAGGGCGAAGGAGTCTTTTCTTCAACGAGGGCTTCTTCCTCACTCACCGATCGGTCTTGCGGCTCGCTCGCATGCGCCGCTTGTGTGGTCATTTGCAGCGTGGTTGCCGTCGCATGCCACATTGTTCACGCCACGCCTTCGCCGATGTCTTTGCTAAGCTCAACGCCGCGCCTTGCACCACCACGCTACTGTCTCATGAGCACTCGCCACGCCACGCGCACCACCTCCTCCGCGCGCGCCATGCACGCCTTGCCTGAGTGGTCGCATCTAGCGCAGAGAAGAAAGAGTGTGGGGACGAGACTCACGGAATGGAGAAATAAAAGGATAAGGAGAGAGAGAAGACGGTGGTTTAGGAGAAATTTAACCGTGGACTGAATGAGTTGGTTTCGTTCTTTAAAAAAAAGAATAAGTGGAACCTCCTGAGTAGTTTTAGGGTTAGGACTAACTAAAAAAAACTCTACAAATATTTTTTTTAAAAACCAAAAATATCTATTTTCATCAATATTTGCGTCCGTTTTCCCGCTATGTAGATATGCATATGTTGCATACCCAGTTTCCCAATCAATCACATAGACATAGAAACGATCAATCTAATGCACGTCGTCCGAGAGTACACAGTGAGGAGAACACGGATGAGCTCAATCAGCACCTGTGCTGTCTGGACTTCATGCGCGCGGTTGCGGGACCGTGAAAGCAAAAAAGAGAAGGGAGGGTAAAAGGGAATAAAAGGCTCTAAATTCTCTCGGATGACATCTAGTGGTTGTGTCGCACTTAATAATGGCATCCTAACAAAGCTTCGTTAGGAAATGACATTATATCGAAGCCCACTTCCATGATGGTCTCTCGCCAAATAGCCCCTCTAACTCACCCCAAACTCGCGCGGCGAAGATCTCGTCACCACCGTTCGCGGTCATCTAGCATATTCCGGCAACGGCGAGTGGGTGGAAGGAGGACAACGACGCGGAGGAGTAAGGACGAGTCACGTAGCCGCCACCGTCGGAGGAGGAGAGATGATACTCCCGGTCGCTAAGCTCGGGACCCTGTTGCTGAAGACGATGTCGAAGCCCATCGCGACCAGGCTCAAGACGGAGGCTAGCCGCCACCCCAAGTTCCGGCAGCTAATCATCAACCTCGCCCAGGTAGCTGTGCTGCGTACCTCTCTTCGCGTCGTGGTATAAATCATAATAGGGTACGGAGTGGATTTTCTGGTCGTGTAGGGTTTCTGGTCAGGTTTATTTTAAGTCACTGGTTCCTGGTCCGACAGCCAAAGGCTAGTAACTCAAATCTTCGTTACCTGTTTTACCTGTTCTTGTTTAGAAGCTTGTTATTTGACCTTATTCAGATCGTTTTTGCTAGCTTCTACCTTGGCTGGTGCTCGTTTCTTGATTTGCTGGTTACTTTGTTAGTATTATGAGGGGCGCAATATGAGCTCTGGGGCCATGGATTATGGATGGAGGACCTGGTCAATTTACATTTAGGCCCCGTTCGGTTGCTGTGAAATAGTGAACTGGAATGAATCCGGCTAGGAATGATAGTCTAATTTATATAACTGTGGATAAACAGGAATGATTCCTGGGCAGGAATCTGATAACCGAACGAGCCTTTACTAAGTCTGATTTGGATCCAGAGCGTGATTGCACGAAATGTTTTTTTCCTGTTTTGTTCTCATGTAAGATGGTGCTGGTTGTTGTGTTAAACTCTGGTGTTCTGACACTTATCTGCTGGATGTCATCCACCTGCCCTATAAACGAACCTGTCTTTTGATGGTAACTGAAAGGATTAGCCCTGAAACTCTATAATGTTTGTTCTTAAATGGCATATTTCTCTAAACTAAGCAACATGTCCGTCTGAAATTGGCATGTTTCTTCACCTCAATTGACACACATCAAATTTCCATCTGAATGTGCAAATTTAGAAGCTGAGCCCTTGTTTAGTTCGCGGAATTTGGATTTTGGGCTACTGTAGCACGTTCGTTTTTATTTGGCAAATAGTGTTCAAACATGGACTAATTAGGCTCAAAACGTTCGTCTCGCAATTTCCCACCAAACTGTGCAATTAGTTTTTCTTTTCGTCTACATTTAATGCTCCATGCACGGGCCACAAACATTCGATGTGACAGGTACTGTAGCAAATTTTTGGAAGTTGACGTGAAACTAAACAAAGGCTGAACTGTTCACCTCTTTCTAGAGCCCGCGATCCAGAATACAGAAAGAGAAAACACATAATGATTGAGGTGACAATGGCATATCTAGTCTAGTGACTAACTAATTTTCCTATGATTAATGAATCATACAACACAGGAATTGTATGAAAGAACTGCATCAGTTGGGGAGAGGTACCCAAACCAAAATTCAGTGACCTTGGACCTTGTGCTGAATTTGCTCAGGATTTCGCTGGTTCTATTCGTTATTCCTTTTCTCCAAAACCTTACATTTGCATATGTCAACCTGACCATGGAGACTAAAATTGGATCCCAATACTGACAGCAGCTCCTATTGAAGCAATGAAGCTAGCTCGGTATTCTTATGAAAAGGAGAAAAAGGAAACACTTCCTTTGTTTTTCTAGGTGTCACCTTAGTTCGCTTCTTGCTCGAAGCTGAAAGAATTATCTGAAATCGACGGTGGTTTTTTACTTTATCCTTGTGCTAGATCTATTCCCAATTTGATTTTCTCCAATAACCTACTTTCACACATGTATCAACTTTACAGTGTTTCCAACTTCTTAACCAGAGCAACATGAAGATCTGATAAATTGATAGTTCTATATCTCATCTATGATTACTAGTTATCAGCATATTAGAAATAGTATCTATAGATGATCGTTTGGGATTTTGGGTGGCATCCACTCCAGGAACCATTAAATTTTGCTGGGATAGACGTTTCCTAGCGAGAAGAAATCATTTGAATGAATCTTGGAAAGTCCTTTTTTAATAATTCTAGTTATTCCCTTTTTACTTTCAATAAGTTGGCAACTTTAAAAATTATCAGCCTTGGAATTTTATCATTTGCAGCGTACATCTTTTTTGTCTCTTCTGATGATATAGTGAACCTTTGTTTCCTACTTCATGCAAAGAGCCAACAAAGTGCAGGCGCTCATAGAAATCACTAAGTATGTTGGTTGTTCTTATGACGTAGTGTATGTGGATAGATGTATAAACCTTGCTCTGTAAATCATGACTATAGTATATGTATTAAAAAGATTCAAAATTTTTTATTCCCAGATTGACTATTAAGTGTGTAAGAGCCCGGTTGGAGGGGGGCCCTAGGGGGTGCGGCGGCTAGGGTCTAGGGGGCTGTGGGCGTCGGCTATGGAGAGGGAGGCGGCGGCAAGGAGGGAGAGGGGAGGGATAAGCCTGAGGCTGTTCTTTCTTGATCTCAATGATTACATCGCCTCTCTATTTATAGTCTTGAGTAGACTTGTATCCTAAGTAATCTAATAAGGGAAGTCCTTATAGATTTGGACTACCCCAATCTATCTAATCTCAACCGATCATATTCCTATTCTCTTTCCTTTACTGAAGATCCTCTCCGGATATGGATAGTTTTGCAGCGGGAGACCGCTCTTGCCGTGCGCACCCTCCCCCTTCAGGTGGCGCGGCTGCCCCCCCTTGGCGGCTGGGCTGGATGGGCCGCCAGCCCCCATCAGGCGTATGACATCACTCCCCCCTTCTCCGATCAGCGCGTCCTCGCGCTGAATCATTGCCCAATCCTTGACGCCCGCGGGTGGTAGTCTGCTGCCCCAGGGTACTTCTGCAATTTGGACAGTGAGGTGCCCCAGAGTGTTGTTGAGTTGGTTGGTGCTAATGTGGTAGTCGGAGAACTGGAAGTAATAGCGGAGGGAGCCGAAGTAGCCGGAGATGTAATAGCTGTTCGTTACCAATCCTTCCATTGGTTCGTGGATGCAACGTGCTGCATAGATGGCGGCGCCTGGAAGTGTTCCCGGGAAGTGTAGCGTCTGCATGACCCGTGGAGGCCGTGGAAACGAATGTACCTATCCTGCATCGACTTGCCCCATTATGCGCCTGCACAATGCTGTTGCTACGATGGTCGGTGGTGTCATGGTGAAGTGCTGTAGCGTGCCAAAGAGGAGATCGCCCTTGTCGTAGTTGGCCGGGGAGACTAGTGGGTGGCCGTTGGCGTGCTGCCTGCTGATGTAGATGTCCTCGATGGAGAGAAACTGTTGGCCGTTGTTGTTGAAGAAGATGATGGTCGCTGATGGCAGTATGCGTTGTGGCCATTCTTCGAGTAGTAGGATGCGCAAAGGGAAAGCTTGTGTTGTTGGTGTAGATGTCGCTGTGTGGAGGCAGATGGCTAGGAGATGCGGAGATGTAGTTCCTAGCAACTCGAGCTGGTCCTGCAGCAGGGGTGAAGTCACTGGGATGTAGTAGCAGTCGTTGTGGCGGATGATGCCGTGTTGGAGCGACCAAGCTGGCGCTGCGGTCTGGACTTTAATGGTGGCGGAGATGATCTGGAGTTCACGCTCGTCGGCGGCAAGGTGGAGCTGTGCGAGGATGTTGTGGTCAGGTTCGCTGTGGACGGCTGCTTCGGTGTTGTAGCCAGCTGGTGGAGAATGTGTTGCCGCTGGAGTGTTCTGCGGTGCTGGGGCGGTTGATGCCGAGCTGCTGGTGGAGTTGCCGTCGGTGGCGATCTCAGCGTGGGCTCCCGCTGGTTGTCGTCCAACGCTTGCTGGACAGCCGTGAGTTGGTGCTGAGGTGCCGGCAATGTCGCGGTTGGTGGTGTTCCTAGTGCAGGCTTCCGATGGTGGTCGTCCATGACTTGGTGGGCAGCCGCACGGATGACTGGAGGTCCGTCTAGTGGTGGGAAGAGCGGTGACAATGGTGGCTGCGGTGGTGGAGGTGAAGCCGAAAACAGGCTGTCGGAGACTGCCAGGATGATCTCCGGAGCGCTGGAAGATTGGGGTTCGTCCATCTTGCGCTTGAGGTATGATTTGCCGGCGGCAATCATGACTCGCTTGGTTTCTGCAGCAAGGTCGTCGATGGCAGCTGCCCTATCCAATCCGGCTTGGACGCCGGTGATGGCGGCATCGCCATGGATGCGTGCGTGCTCTATAGCGTGCAGACGTTTGTCGAGGTTGACAAGTTGGCGATGCATCTCCCCGAAGTTCTTGCGGAGATCGACGGCAAGGTTCTCGATCAGCTGCTGCATGGTGGAGGTGGCAGAGTCCATGGATCGTCTGGTCTCCGGATACCAGTGTAAGAGCCCGGTTGGAGGGGGGCCCTAGGGGGTGCGGCGGCTAGGGTTTAGGGGGCTGTGGGCGTTGGCTATGGAGAGGGAGGCGGCGGCAGGGAGGGAGAGGAGAGGGATAAGCCTGAGGCTGTTCTTTCTTGATCTCAATGATTACATTGCCTCTCTATTTATAGTCCTGAGTAGACTTGTATCCTAAGTAATCTAATGAGGGAAGTCCTTATAGATTTGGACTACCCCAATCTATCTAATCTCAACCGATCCTATTCCTATTCTCTTTCCTTTACTGAAGATCCTCTCCGGATATGGATAGTTTTGCAGTGGGAGACCGCTCTTGCCGTGCGCACCCTCCCCCTTCAGGTGGCGTGGCTGCCCCCCTTGGCGGCTGGGCTGGATGGGCCGCCAGCCCGCATCAGGCGTATGACAACTGTTTTCAGTACTCGCCTGATGACCTGCTATGTTAGTTTTTCAAGAACAAATTGAACATTGGACTAGAAAATACCAAATAGCACATGATGGCAAACAGATTCCTTCTGAATTCTGATCGACGGCTTTGTTTCAATAGATCTAATATCCTGTGTGTTAAAACAGAAAATCAGAAGTGTGTTCTGTGCACTATAACCTTAAACACCTGATTGTTAACAGAATAATTTAGAAATTCGGTTAGTAGCTAGTCTGGGTTAGTAGATTCGGTTAAATAATGAGTCAGTACGTTGCTCAAGGAGATCCAGTCTATAGAGGGAAAAAGATGGGCACATGGAAATAATTGCCTTAGTTGTTGTGGCTTATCTTACCTGGCTTAGATGCTTTCAATTTTCATAGTCACCTTACTTAACATTTGCATTAATCCCATGCACTAAATGGCTTATGAATTATTAAGATAAAACTCTTGAGTCTTGGACAGTACACCTTTCCACTCAATTTTTTGATTCGTTTTTCATCTCTGCTATTATTCGCTTGTCACTTATTTAGGGAGCTTTGAAGACACATACTTCTTTTGTAGGCAAATCACCGTATCTCCACAAACATCCAAAGAAGAGTATATGGCCATTCAACTAGTGTTGAGATTCGGCCATTGAATGAGGAGAAAGCTGTTCAAGCTGCTGCAGATCTTATTGGGGAGCTCTTTGTTTTCTCGGTATTCACTAAGTCAAAGCTAAATGTGTTCCAAACCTCCTACATATGTTCCTTGTTGTCCTCACTTTTTGTATGATTCTGTAAGTGTGATGCAAACCTATTATTTATGTATGAGCAATGAGCCAATGAACATATGATATGCTCATCAGAAACTGGAAACATTATCGAGACAAACAGGAGTGATCCAGACTCTTTTTCTAGACTTCATTTCACTAAATGTATTGTTTATATAGTTTGGTGATTTTTTTTATTTCAGTCATTTGCTAAACTTAGGCAAAAATTATGTGGTAGGTTGCTGGGGCTGCTGTAATCTTTGAGGTGCAAAGAAGTGCAAGGTCAGAGGCCCGAAAGGAGGAGGCTCGCAAAAAGGAAATTGAGGTAATAGCCCTGGGATGTCCAGTTTTTTCTAACTCGTGGTCTATTGTGCTTTCGTAAATTTCTGAATTTCTTGTAATTCCCTGGTACCACCACATGTTCCAGAGCACTGAATATCTATTAGTGTATGTAATCTAGAAAATGTGGCCCATGTTTTCGCATAGTTTCTTGTTGTTTCAACTCAAAACAGAAAAATATCAACAAAAGAATCTACTGCTGTTAATCTGTCCCAATGCTTGTCAACGTTTCTGCAGGAAGCCTTGGGCAGCCATTAGTTAGTTTGACTGAAAAAGATGACTTACAGGTTTTCCAAATTATCCACAAGGCTGTTTTTGACCATAACATATCAAGTTTCTATGTCTGAGAGTACAACATGTGGAATAACCTTGCATAGCTTGTTCTGTATTGATCACCCTTTCATTGGCCATGGTTGTACAGGCATATCTGCTCTAACAGTGATTCAAGAACCAAAAGCAGTTAGTTAATATCTGCATTTCATACTTTCAACTGATGTTCAGATATCATGATTCACAAGGATGTTTCCATGTCCTTCTGGAATAGTTATAAATCTGTAATGCTCTACTCCGTATTTCATTATGCACAAATAGTACTATTAAAAAAAAGGGATCCTGGAGAGGAGATTTGTGTCAACATTTTCTGTAATATTCATGAGTTATTTTGACTAGAAGCAGCATTTTTGCATTCGAAGCACATTTGCATTATGTCCCATGCTCCAGTTGATTTATGTCAAATGGGTTTTATACAAAAAGTTCTGTTGTAGCTGTTTATCAATAATTCCTAAATCTTTATAAGGTTGTTACTTCTGTCATGAAGGCAATAAGGCAAAAGGAGGAACAACTGGCTCAAGATTTACTGATCGTGAAGCAGAAGCTTAATGAGTTAGAGCACGTTGCTAATTCGCGAGGTCTCTCTGGATTGTTCAGGAGCAGCAGTGTACCAGAACAGAGGCCACATGACTAGTTGGTTTGACTGAAACAAAGCTGTCGCTTCAAGGACAAAACTCATAACCAGTTGACCAACGACTCTCCTGCCCTGTTTCTTGAAGCTCCCACCATGTCGATTGTGTTGTCCCACTAACCATTATGGGATGACCCCATCGGATTTGAAAGACCAGAGTTTATTTTGGCATGCTGTCTACGTGGTTCTGGCAAGTTGTACTAAAATGCACTAGATGTATGCGCCATGAGCGTGTTTGTGAAAGACAGAATGTAAGACTCATTCAGATGTCATGCTGTGGAGGATTCCTCTTCTATGCACCAATTCAGTCTCTCTTTGTGCTTTTTTTTTTTTTTGTGTGTGTACGATAAGGGTCTAGTGGTAGTTGTGCCTTTTTGGTAGAATTTCTGGAATCCATCTGGGAGTGCACTATTTTTGCTAGTAAGTATAGAGGAATCTGACGCATTGATAGTTCAACAACGAATAGGCATGCAGCACACAGCAAAAGAATGTCAAAGGGAATGTTATTCCTGGGAAATAAGCTTTTCCTCAGAGCATATTGCAAGGAAAAGAGGTCTACATCCAGTAGGATATAGGATAGTCCAAAGTGTGGCACCTCTGTCTTTCTGATGTAGGGGAAAAGGTACTGTAACAAATTACTTGCAATGATCACAAACGTACATATTGTGTGCCTTTTTGGGGAGAAGGTAATGTAGCAATTGCAAAGATTACAAACATACAAATTATGGATCTCCATGAAAATGGAACAGTCCACACTGCAATTGAAGCATATAAGTTACAAGTCCAATCGATGAACCCAAGGCAGCAACAAATGTGCTAGAACGATGTGAGCAATAGCATCCTAAATATAGGACGCATGTAACACCTCTGGTGTTTTGACCTAGCATTAAAACTTGACATGTTATCATATGCATTGCAAAGCATTCATAAAGTAGGAAATTTTGAATGCATTCACTAAATAAGCTTTATTTCATAGTTGTTATTTTATGTGATGTAATGTAATCCAAAACTCTAAATAAAGATCATGACCACAAGGGTCAAATTTCATGTGATCATGTGAGACCATGTGTCATTTGACTCAAATAACCTTAATGGGCCATGTAATTGGTCAAAAACCATAATTAAGTAAAAATGTGAACAAATCAAATTGAATTCAAATTCAAATTATAAAAGTCATTTTTGCCCCTTTTGTGTATTTCAAAATCCATTTGGAATTTGGGGGTGTGACAAAAAGTAAAGTTGAAGCTTATTTTATAAGGATAAACTTTGGTATTCAAAGTTTTTAAAGTTTACATATAAAATTTGGAGTAATTTTGAAATGATTCAAATGCTCAAATGCACCCCAAATTCAAATTTCAAAATGGAGGCAGAATTTGAAAATATTCCTTGAAGCAAAGTTGTAGAGTTTGAAAAGTTGAGCAACTTTCATTTTTGGAGATTTTCAACTTCTTTAGAAAAATTGTGAGTAATTTGCAAAATAAACTCAGTGGCAATTCTGTAAATATTTCAAAAATCAAAATCGCCACCGCCTGCTTGCCACCGGCGCCACGCAGCTGCTTGCCGCTGACCGTCTTCGCCGCTTTCTCGCGTGGTGACACGCTGCTGTCTCCGTGGCGACCTCGTTCGGGAGCTGTCGAAGCCGGACGCACCCTTCCCTTCTATAAATAGGAGCACCCACCGTCGTCGTTCTTCTTTTCCTCCCGTCTGCTCGCCGTCGGTGTCCTTGCTGCGCTCGCAAAATTCGTCCTCACCATAGCACCTCGTGCCAATTGCATTTGCCAACATCTCCGCCTCGCCCTGTCGCTCCTTTCAGGCCTGCTTGCCTCGCCTCTAGCAGTCCAGCGCCACCGCGCGACGTCTTCTTCTTCGGAGCCGACCGAAGCACCGCCACGACCGACCTCACTGTGGCCAAGCCGCTCCAGTCCATCTTCGCCTTCACCGAGTCTACCGTCGTGTTCGCGGTGAGCTCCTGAGCGTGATGCTCGCTCCGCTTTAGCCTCTACCGCGTCGTAGTCAGGGTTGTGCCGTGCGCTGTCGTGCCCGCGCCGCCATGGCCTGGCGTGGAGCTTCCTCCGGTGCACCTGCTGCTGTTCTGAGGGTAGGGATAGGTTCGCGGGGTGGTGTAGATCATGCTGGTGCGGTCTGCCTCGCCGAAGCCTCACCACCGGCGTGTTTGGCTGGCCGGAGCTGGCAGCGCCGCCATGTCCTGTGTTGTGTCGCTGACATGCGGGGACTGGTTGTCAGTGAGAGAGAGGGAGAGAGAACAGAGAGATTTGGTATTTTCTGGATTTTGAATAGTGCAACAACTTTGGAAAATCATAGGAAAATAATTACAGCTTCAAAAATTCTAAAAATTTGTGTGTAGCTACTGTACATGTTCTATTATGGTTTAAAAATATGAAACTTGAAATTTGAATAAATTTTTAATGTTAAAAAATTCAGTCAATTAATTGATAAATGCAATTTCCACA